CCAAATGCCGGATCCAGCATTGCACACCCTTGTATGGCCTTTCCCGATAGTAGTGTAGCAAAAACAGAATCCTTTGTCCTGCATCGTCGATTTTGCATTCAACGAAATTTTCGTATTGGCGGATGAATTGGCAATATTGTTCGGGATTGCCGTCGAAAGGTGTCAGTTCGACTCTTGATGAATCGGCGTTTATATGGGCATACATCCTTTGCTTCGGGAGGGATTGTTCATTCAGGGAGAGGCAACTGTATTGTTGTGCCGTTGAAATCATTTTTTCACGTTTGGCCTGTTCTATCTGCTGCCCAGCTAATCTCAATTCATGCTCTAATTTAGAAACCCGCAATCTAAATATATCAATATCCTTAAGATCTTGTTAAGACCGAATTCCAACCGCCACACTATGCACCGTAATTTGGGGCCCGTAACCCAACACAGAAAAAACAGAACACACAGATAGCGTGCGGCCCAGAATCGGGTTAACGATTTAATGAATGTTCGCGAGAGTACATCAATCGATTAAATGATGACCGACAATTAGGTCAAGCTGGCGCATGGAACAAAACGGATTGGATGGGTATTAGTCAGTGTCTGTCATGAAAAGCTTTTGTATGATCAATGGGAACTGATAGACGAATGGGTACGTAGCAGATCTGAATCTACACATGAAACAGCGCTGACAGGGCTAACAGACCGAACATTTTCTAAAAAATCAAAATGACCCACATCCCCCACCCAGTGAGTTGCCGGGTTACTTCCTGATGGGTTCCAGTTTTCTTGGTTCCTCGTCTGGGCATCTTTGAAATATATTTCTCGTTTGATTCCAATTTGAGTACTGTACATCAACCAATTTGCCCTTAAGTGACGCGTAGCCGAAACCGATACGAATTCCGAAATAAAACACAATTGATCCGTATTGTTCTGCGGTACTATATCAGAGAAATCATTACAAAATGTACAATAAAGCAAACCTCAATCACGCGGCCAAAAGCACTCAAGCAAGCGAGCCAAATATGATGTCCAGAGAGAGCCAAGCAGTCGATCACGCTCTCCGACTACACCAAATTCAAATGTGCCGGGCATCGAATCAACAGATAAATAATAATGTATGGTGTTTGCGATTGAGAAATGTCGATAGAGAAGCAACACATAGAGTTATGTCACCATAAATCATCATGTGTTTGGAAGGATTTTCAAAAATCATCATGGAATACAAAGGGCAAGCCCCATCAATGTTGGATCTCGTAGTAATTGGGGTACCCAATGACGTTCTAGGTTTGGAAATAGAAGAACCCATCTGGAAAAGTGACCATGGTGTACTTTGAGTATTGATGATTGCAATGGGACAAAGTGCACCAGACATATACCGCAGGTACTTCTGGTCCATCAACCAGGGCGCACTGATTAAATCGGGTCGTCAGTGCAGCTGGATGGTAAAAGAGGGAGAGCAATATATTGAACGACAGTGGTGTCAAATTAAGAACAACATATTGGCACTAACAGACCAAACTGTCCCATTCAAGAAGCTCAGACACAGAGGTGCTCCGCCATGGTGGAGTAGCAGGATAAGAAAGCCAACCAGAGAGAACAGGCAGCTTGGCGGCGATATCGGTGTGCCGAAATGCATAGAGACCTTCTGCGCTATAAAGTGGCGAGGAAAACAGCGTCCAGGGTGCAAAACGAATGTCGGTGCAGGTACGAGAATAGGTTGGCACTACATGCAAAAACCAAACCCAAAGCTTGCCTCGATTACGTGCAGTCAAAGATTGCACTGAGAGAGGCTGTAAGATGTTTTATGGATGGCGATGGAGTAGCAGCAGTAACCAACCATGAGAAGGTAAACATCCTGTGCCACTTCTATCAGGCCGTATATAGAAGGAATTTAGGTGCCCCAGTTAGGTCCGTTGGTCAACACCCAACTCTCCTGAATTTTTTGACCGCAAAATTGAAGAAAAGTCATCTCCTTCTTCCATCTGTCGCAGTATAGGCGGATCCCTGGAGTCCACAGCTGCAAGAAACTGGATTAACTGGCACACCGCATTCAATACTAGATCTATTGATCACAAAGTGCCAAAAGGGTATCAGTGAATTAATAGCGTAGGAAAAAGTGATCAAAAGGGATCATATAGTAAAGAAGGTTTTACTTTCCATATACAAAGTATTATCCCCAGCAGCCTCCATTAGGTGTTATGGCAAGCTACAGATAGAAGAAGTGAAAAAGGCTGCGGCAACAACGACATGGGTGCCCAACCACCCTGACCCTACCCTAGTGGAAAGATGGGAAGCAATCAAAAACGGACTGCTGAGGCTAATAGCGGAGTTCGTACCGCTTAGACCATTCAGAGACCAACGGCAGCCTCCGTGGTGGCGGCCAAGAGTGAAGAGGGTAGTAGACACCCGGAGGAAAAGATGGGCAGCGTACGTCACGTATCGCACCAGCCAGACATATGACAGCTATAAACAGGCCCGTAATAAAGCCCAATCTGTTCAAAGACAAGAGAAGTTCTGTTTCGAGCGTAGGTTAGCCAGGTCAGCAAAGGCGAATCCAAAGGGATTCTATGCCATAGTACAAAATAAAAGGAGAACGAGGGAAACTGTGGCTGCGCTAGAAGGTCTGGATGGCCAACTGGCACTGACAGATCGGGAAAAGGCCAGGACACTCCTGGAAGCGTACAAAGGAATATATCGCCTACCACTTGAGACCCAGGATGACCCGAACTGACAGAGAGACTATAGCTCACCGGGTTTATTTGAGCTGTGGGTGAATGGAGAAAGTGTCGAGGGAGAGCTACGTACCCTGTGTAAATACAAAGCTGCTGGGCCAGATGGAATCCATCCAGCCGTAGTTCAACCACTGGCCGAAGTCCTAGCTCTACCGGTGATGCTGCTTTACGCGGCCTCACTCAGNAATGTTTTCATCATCCTTTACGGTGTTTCAGCCGCCGTAACAAGTGGTCTATCGGGATTCAACCTAGATGACTTGTTTATGATTTCTCGTGCTTAAAACACGAGAGGTCATTGCTATGAACTTCAGCAGAACCACGCCAGGTTGGAAGTACGGGCCAACTCCTTCGCACACAGGGTCATATGTATGTGGAGCCGGTTACACGCAGAGGTGGTCAACTTCGCCAACGTTAACGCCTTCAAGGTGGCCCTGGACGCATGTTGGTCAGCAACGTTTCCCGAAGTTAGTATTTAAAGTGGGAATATAATGAATAAATTTTACTTTAGCCGGAAGCTTTGGGAATGGTGTAAACTTGGGCTTGACTGTTGGAATTATTCTAAAACTGACTGTCCTGTTACATGTGATCTGTGTATACGAACGGATATGTACTTCAGGTCTCTAACCAATGGGGCGAGGAGATATCCTTTTTTGCTTTCGTCCCTTTTAGTTTACCCCCAAGGAGTTAGCCCAAAATGCGTTCTATGCAAATGCCTAGAACGCATCGTGAGGCGACAATTATGTGAGCATCTCGTGGTACACAACATCATTACATCCGCGCACCATGGATTTGTGAAAATCAAGTCCTGTCTGATAAATTTGCTGCTATCCGTGACGATGTGACCAGGAGACTCGACGAAGGCCTTACTGTGGAAGTCTGTTACATGGACTTCAGTAAGGCTTTCGACTCAGTCAACCATAGATACTTGGACCAAAAGATGCAGTCAGTAGGCACTACAGGGAGGGCCAGGACTTGGGTGAATAACTTTCTCAGGGGGTCTTTCAGAGTAAGAGTTAGCACGTGCACTACAGATCCAGCAGATGTAATCAGTGGCGTACCCCAGGGATCTGTACTGGGCCCATTACCCTTCCTCATTTTCATAAACGACCTACCGTCGGGGCTGCGGAACCCGTGCTACTTGTTTGCTGACAACGTGAATGTTTTCGGTGCAGACCTGGATGAAGACATCGAAGCTGTACTATCCTGGTCACATAAGTGGAACCTGCCNAGTTGATGGAGATTACGCATGCCAAGGACCTAGGGGTGGTGGTCTCTAGGGACTTCAAGCCCTCCAGGCAGTGCATAGCGTCAGCTAATAAGGCTAGAGGCGAACTCTTTAGGACAAGGGCTACGATTTCCTGCAGAGACCCGCAGGTTCTGGTACCGCTGCACAGGGCTGTCGTCCGGCCACATCTGGAGTATTGTGTCCAGGCATGGGCACCACACTTACAGAAGGACCTAGATTGCTTGGAAAGAGTCCAGCGGTTAGCCACCCGAATGGTATATGGTCAGAACCACAAGGATTACGAGGACAGGCTTGAGGACTTGAACTTGTTTCCCCTTCGACGCAGACGCATGAGGGGTGACTTAATTGAAATGTTCAAAATAATGAACGGTCTGTCGGGCATCAAAAGCGAAGAACTATTGTCTGCGATCCCGGAAGGTGGCACCAGGGGGTATAGCTTTAGACTCCAGCGTCACCACGGTACGCTGCAACTCCGGCAAGATTCTTCTTATTTCAAAAACATCCTGCTGGGAACGTATACTGAGGACCGAGACAACTAGACCCACCAACGGTCGATCGCTGAAATCGGCAATGCACAGTGTTGGAAGCTACAAACACCCGCCAACAACACAACAATCTGGACGCTCCATTGGCTGAAAGACACATTTCTTCCTGTGTATACTGAACTGAACTGCCGTCAACTTCCTGGAAGCGAACGGTTTGAAATTTGACGTGGAGCCCGAGAAAGGAGAAAGTTCAAGGAAAACTCGACAGAAACGGTGCTGGAAAAAACGGCAACCTGGTCGTTTTTGATTCACGGATACGTATATTTCGATCTTGGGG